AATATGTATATGACTTAGTTGTGTAAGAATTATTTAAGCCAGTACTTACTAAACTCGCATAGCAGTAGAACATTACTGCCAGACAATTGAAAACGTCTCTCTACGTGAACTACACATCAAAATATTCTTGCAATCGCAAGCTACTTTATTAAAAATTAATAGCCACTTAATATTTCAATGCAAATATTGTCATTTGACCATTTAAATCTGAAAAATGTGTTTTTGGTCGAACTGTTCACAAATGTTCTAAAATCTAGGAAGTATTCGGAAAAAGCTTTTGAGTTGCAAACGTAGTCTATATTCATTTAATCGATACAACCAGTCCAAAAATGTTTACGGTTTTCACGTTATTAATTTTTTTAATCTTATGAATCGACTACTAAATTCCGTTATTAATGACTTTTTGGATTTTTGAATATTTCACAAAAAGGACAACAAGAAAATTATTAATCTACCCATTTAAATTGAGCCTTAAATAAATAGATTAGATTGCAACCAAAGGCATAAAACTATTTTAGACCTATTGAGTTTTATCAAAATTCCGCAATGCATGCACATCAAAATGAAATAATGTTACTTGAAAAACCCATTACTAAAGAACTAGCCTTTTTAAAATTAAATCAAACAATTAGAAACTTTAGAAGCACGTCTTTGTTTGATAAAAACGCAAACCCTCTTTTAGGATTGTTTATTTCAAAATAGATAAACTTGTAGTTTTGATCAGAGGAAAATCGTTAGCTTGTAATATGTACTTGTAACCGATTTCAATCATTATGCTAAATGTTGTAATACTCGAGTCTATTTTGCAGAATAAGTTAATGATGCTCTTTTTAATCAAATTAACTTTAGTCATAAAATTTTAATATTTCATAATTAGTTTCTAGTTAATTTCATTCTATTTCTTCATTTCAACGTACTTGCAAGATTTCATATCTGTTTGACTATGGCCTTTTATTATAGTTTACTAACCTTATTAGTTCCGGGCTACTTACTTTAGTCAACAGCCTAGAAAATAATTTGCAAGAGCATACTTAACCGTCATAAAGCGCGACATCTATATAAGACATAGTACGTAGTTGACTGAAATTGAAAGTCAAATTTGAATTTAAAATGAACACAAAACATAACATATGTCTATGGACAGTATTATAGCACCACTGTAAGAAAATAATAAATAATTAAAGTACCTGGTAATAAGAATTTTCACTTTCAGTGATTCAACAAAACGTGAAATTATGTAAACGAAGATTTTCTTATTTAACGGTACTGACTTACAAAATGAATAAGTAGTATAAACTAGTCTTTAGCAAGATAAGTATTTGTATGAAGCAGAACAATAGTAGTACGTCATGGTTGTTTCCTTTTTCAGGAAATAGATCAGATTATACGATGAAAACAAGAATTAGTAGTAAATTATGCTTATTCGATAACTCAATTATATTGTTTATGCCGATATTCATCTAACACTAATTACCATATCTAACAAATACTTAGATAACTATTTATGGGAATACATTTTTTTAGTACTGTACGATCATACAAATCTTATTCGTCAACGCTATTAACAAATATACATAAGTAAAATGATCTAAAATCTAGAAAAAAATATTTAAAAACATGTAAAAGTTTAAATTCTGTCTGGTATTTTTATACTTTGTATGTAGGGATCTCAGGGAATGTAAGGTAAATCAAACGTGATCAATCGAATTTTTTTTAAGCAGGTACCCATTTCTTAAGTATTACATTTTCGTTTTTTGACAGTTAATCAACTAAAAGGGAGACAATTCTAATTACCACAAACACTTTGAAGAGCGGACATGTAGTTCACCCACTATAATTGTAGACATTATTTACGCGATACTTCAAATTAATCGATTAATAAACAACATAAAATGTGAATCGACTCACATTTCTAAATATGAAAATTTTTGGTCTAACTAAACCCTATTTTCAACATCAATTACAGTTTATGAATATTATACAATGTATGTATATAGCGAATTATTAAACAATAAAATAAATAGTAAAACGATAATAACTATGCATCATTAAATAGAGATATACTATCTTATGATATTATACCATCTTCATTTTATGGTTAATAATTTGTAGAAACTGTCTATGGCGTGCTGATGAGAACAAATAAGTTTTAAACCAAGATCAACGTCTGGTAGTTTCAATAAATTACCGACCAAGATCTTAAACTGTTTTTAATAAAAATTATATAAAGGAGAATCATTAAAATGAAGTACAGAAGTCGCAGTCGTAATATTTAACGTACACCAAGTTAATGATTATTTTGAGAGACACTTTCTTATTAAAATACAAAAGAACGTCCTGGGTAAAACTGATTTAATTTTGTGAACACTGAAATCAAAATAACACATTATTTTTCAAATTATGTAAAAAACACGCACTATTCGTTCCGTTTCTCTTTAGTTCTCAAGGAAATATGCGTTGCAACTTGCACGATGTGAAGCGTAATTATTAAAATCGTAAAATTACGTTCGCTGAATTGGAAGTAAAAATTAACGCCGCTAAATGTTAGGCGATAATAATGTATCATGCACACTATATAATAAGAGAAAGTGAAAAGGGGGCGCATCCTTTAGGTGGGTGGTTCCCCTTATAAAAGGCAAATCTTTTTTTTGATACTCACAGTGTTTTGAAAACAACAAACTAGTATACAAAAACAGAAGAACAACATGATCCACTACACACAAGTGAGTTACACTTTTTAACTAAATAACGGACATTTGCTACTTATAAATATGATTTTGTTGCTATGGATAGTTCAGTTGCGAAAAATCACAACAATAACAGTTTAAATAACGAATAATTGTTGGAATTTATTTCGAGTAGTTAATAGTAAAATAAAATATTTGTACAGATTTCATTAGCAGTTGTCTGTCTGGTTGTTTTGGCTAGCTGTGGCTACATAGAACATGGGTATGAAGGATATAGTGTTGGTGAATATGAACATAAACCGGAACCTTACGTAAGTATTTTTAAAAGATGAAACAGAAAAATAATAGAGCAGAACATTTCGTATGTATCACATTCGTTTTAGAAATTACTGTTGAAGCATTCCTTCAAATAGAAATATTGTTAAATCAATTAGTTATTGATTTTTATTTACTTTATTTTTTTCGAGATACAAAACGTTTTGAAACTTTAATGAAATATTGAATGAGACTCCACTGAATCGTAACTAACAATGATAATGTCACAACTAAATTAAGTCATCACCGAAGATGCCGTCAGAGAATTATGGTAAAATATTTGGAAAAGTAAAAGTCGGTGGAATACGACAGAACACTCTAAGAAAATCCTTGAACCCTATAATTAAATCAATGTACTTAAAAAGCGTGTTGTCTGACTGATAATTCTTATACTAATAACAATAATAGAGTACTTTTTATTAGATT